GTGCAAAGTAGGATGAGGAGTGGGTGGGGATGGAGCATGGCCGGGCATCTCCTCAGAGGTGAACTGTTGTGGGGAGCCAGGAGCAGGAAGAAAATCATAGTAAATTGGAAGAGCTGGTGATAAACTTCTGTTTGCTCCTTAAAGTTTTTAAATGAAGCGGAACCCGACTCTAAAATCTGGATACCTGTGCTCAAAAGTTCCTGTTCCTGCATCTCCTCTTCTCTAATGATTCACAGATACCAAATCCAGATACCAGAAGACACCAGAAGAGAGTGGTATGACCACTCAGACTGGAAATGCAGCCTGGCGATTCCTCCATTGAACCCATAAATTGTGGGAGCTGTAACAGCCGTTTCCCAAAGGCACAACCTCCAGCCTTTGGTGTAGTGGAGGCAAAGACATGGTATGCTCTGGAGAGGCACCCAGTGCCCATCACCCTGCCTCTAGGCTCAGGAGTACATGGCAACCGCCGGGTCCTCGCTGACTGCTGCCTTCCAAACTCCTTGTGCTTCTCTGCAGCATTTTCTCTCTTGTTTCACTGGTGTGTCTTTGTTTCCAGCAAATGTGTTCTCATCCATGCCCTCTCCTTCTGCCCCAGCCCAGCCCCATGGCACCCAGGTGTGGTGTGCCTCTGTATAGCATCCAGATGCATGGAAAACTCGATGTTGAAACAACAACTTCTTGTCTTCGGCATGGGCCCCCACCGTCCTCCTTTCTCCATCATCTGTCACATCGTTTGTCTCATTATCAGCATTAATCCCCTCTTTTCCTGCTCATACTTCTCCTACAATCTTGCTTCTTTCTCAAGACTACATCGTTTTCTTCCATTGAAGCATCCAACTGTGGGGCTACTGCGCTCATCCCTTCTGCAGTCGTCTGAGGTGTGACTCAAATTTCCTCCTTTCCTTACTTTTGCTCCTCTCTAACTTCCTTCTCCACTCGGAATCTTATTGCTTTCCCTTCCCTTATACTCCTCCATTCTGTTCTCCTTGACTTGGTAAAGCTCCAGTTGGTAAACAGCCCAGTTTTCCATCTCTCTGCCTCCATCTTCACCTCTCAGCCCTAATGAATGATTTTTTTCCTTCCTTCTCCTAATGCTCTTTTCTTCAGTTTGGCTGTATGGGACTCATCAGATCCAATTAGTGTTCTAATTGAGCAATCTGGTGATTTGAGGACTGAAGGATAAGCTCCTTTGGAGCCAGTCCCTCCTTCCAAGTTGACTTTCTAGGTCGCTTGGAGCAGCCAGCTCCAACTGCAGTGGTCAGGGTTGCTCCAGTGCTACTGGAACCTGGGAAAGTTGAATCCCTTAAATCAGAGGAGATCTCTCCAACGCAGTTAATGAAGTCTAGAGAGCTGCTCAGTGACATTTAGGTGGTGTCATCTACCAACCGATGTCCACCTTACTCGCTGGACTCCTAATATTCCTTTATTTTATAAAAATTCCCCCTCAAAATGGAGTGAAATAACTTGTTGAACTGCTGATGCATTTACTACTCTAGAACTGGTTTAAGAGGTGTAGGCTTAGACCTTTCTCAAATGGCTCAGGCATTTCAGGCATTCAAAAGCCATCTCTGAGGCTTCAAAAAGAAACAAACCAGCAGGGATTTTTTCAAAAATTCCTGTGCTTTTAAAATTCATGTCTTGGTGGACATGAGGTCAGAACTTTTTGAGACAAGAAGGGAAAGAAAAGGGAACAAAAATCTTGGTTTATTATTACGCGGTCACTCTGTGACAGTGTGTGATGATACGGCTTCAAGTACGGCAACATCACAAGCTCTGTCCTTCTGCCGAGATAATGTTGTTGATGCTGAAAACAAAACTGGTAGCAAAATAAATAGCAGGAATTCTTGACACTTGAAGGAAGAAGAGGGAGGGAGGAAGGGCAGAGTGGTGCCGGAGGCATAGAGCACTGAGTAAGGTTGCTGTCCCATTGACAGCGCTCAACCCCGGTTTTGTGTTGTGGAATGTTGGCAGCAGTCGCGGTGCAATGTAACCCCCGTGTCCAGCTTCCCCCGGTTTGTCGGGATGCTCTGTCAACCAGATGGTGGAAGTGCTCTGGAGAAAGAAACTTGAAAAAAATAAGCAATTTGAAAAAACTGAATTTGTCCCCTAATCTGGGTCACACTACAGGAATATCCCAAACCAGTACTGCACTGAAACCAGTCCTGCACCGAAACCAGTCCTGCAAATCCATGCCCAGAGCTTCCAGCTGCAAGGAGGAGCACTTGTCTTGCCTGAGTTGAGACATCACCAGCATAGATACCTTCATCTGAGCTGCGTCTCTGGACTCCTTTGATAGCAGGGATGAATGGGCACTGTTAGGGCCAATTCGCATGAGCACCCATAAATGTCTGTCTTGGGAGGAGAATTAGAACTCTTAAAAAGGCTCATTTCTCTGCACTGGGCTGCAAAGGGAGCCTGTAGGACAAGAGGAAGCAGCCTCAAGTTGTACCGGGGGAGGTTTAGATTGGATATTAGGAAAAATTTCTTCACCCAAAGGGCTGTCAAGCATTGGAACGGGCTGCCCAGGGAAGTGGTGGAGTCCCCATCCCTGGAGGGATTTAACAGATGTGTAGGTGTGGTGCTTAGGGACATGGTTTAGTGGTGGACTTGGCAGTGCTAGGTTAACGATCGGACTTGATGATCTTAAAGGTCTTTTCCAACCTAAACGATTCTGTGATTTTATGATTCTACCACATTTGGCATGATGAATCCCACCTGACTCTCTGTTACATGTTTGTACAGCGCCAGTGCTGTAGATCTCAGATCTGTGACTCAGGCTGTAGGCAGGGTGATGATAATAGTAATACTCCCGCGGTTGTTTTTTTAGTGATGAATTTGCCTCAATAGTCAGCATTCTTTGGTCAGCCCCTAGGAGTTAAACTCATTAAGCATTCCCTGTTGATGGCCTTTTTGCTTACGGTGGTCTGAGGTTGAGGAGTACCTGCTCGTTTGTTGGATGCTCTCCTTGACCTGTTTACCCTCATCCCACTTCGTGACCTACGGGAAATCAGATTGGCTAAAGCAATTTCAAAACTGTAAAAAACAAACCCTCATTAGTTTCCTAAATCTAGTCCTCATGTTGGGAATTTGGGAGATTGGATTTAAATCTATAGCAACATTTAATTTCATATTCACAGCGGGGTGGTTGCTGTAAGTGGAGGAGCAAGTTCATCTGCAGCACCAAATTGAATCTGAAAGTAAAAGGCCTTTATTACCACTAGCCTCACAGCGGTGTCTCTCCCAGACACTTCTTTTCTGTTTCAAAAGCTGCTGCTCTTCCACTTCACGGTCAAATCCTTCCATCAAACCTTCAAGCAGAGGCTGCAAACCCAACAAAATTTGTCATCTACACAGATGAACTGTATCCAGGCTGAATCCATGGGGTAGTACCAGCAAAGCCAGGCTTAAGACTGTCTTACCTGTACTCTTAAAGCTACCCATTGTAGACTGCTTTATAGTTTCTGGAAGCGTTCAGATTTTGCAAATACGCATCCCAGCACTTGCAGAATGTAAAAAACCTAAAAATCATTCAGTCATTTTTGCGGGGGAAGAAGATTAAGACAAAACCCTCATTCTTGCCCAGACTAAGAAGAACCACCGTGGCTCTCCTGGGCTCAGCGCTGGACTCATGGTGTCTGAGGAAAGGAGGAAGGGTTCCTGCTTGGGGTCTTGATGAAAGCCTCGTGGGGCTCTGGAAATGCTCCGTGGGTTTTGAAAACCAGCACTCTGCTTATGCAGGGCTTACCCAGCAGTTGTGCTTCTCAACATCTTCCTCTCAGCCTCCAAAAAGACGAGATGCGCTGTGGATGCATGTATAATGTAGCAGCTTGCAAAATATGTTCTCCCATGCTTTTCTTTTCTTTTCTTTTCTTTTCTTTTTTTTTTTTTTAAGCCCCCAAATCACTATTTGCTGGCAGGTTTTTGGCTTTGGCTGATATTTTTTTTTTTTCCAAATTTTGCTGCATTTTTGGCTGAAAACATTTTGGCCAGGCATTGCTAAAGACTTCCATTTTTGACCTAAAATTCCTCGTTTGGGACTGTTGGATTTCATTGGTGCATTTGGGCTTTTTTGGGTGAAAAAGAGAAAATACTGTGAGGGAGAGTAATTTGAAGACAGAAGTCATTCCCCGTGAATAGGGTTGTTTAAGTAATAACCCCAGTTCTGCTTGAAACAAATTTTGATGGAAATTCTCCGACTATCACTACTATGCAACCACGCTAAGGCTGATGAGGCAGCGACTCTCCTCCGTACTGTTTATATTAACATATGCAATGACTTAGATCCCTGCAAAACTGTGGAGAGCTCTGCATTATTCAAGTGTTGGAGGAGGCAACAAAAAAACGATCCATGGTTAGAATAAACTGCCTGCTATCTCTTGTTTCTATTAATAGCTCCTTTATAGCCCAAATGTTTGCATTGGAGTAGGGTGGTGTAGTTTGCACAGACCCTGGGAGGAGGAATGGATTGTGTTGGGCCGACTACCGCCACTGATATTTGGCTTTTTCCTAGCCGGGTGTGGACTCCCAGCCCCAATGATTTTGTGCTGGATAGGGAAAATGCCAGTGAACGGCGTAAAAATGTGGCTAGGGGCATTTCCAGAAGGGCTGGATGGCGTTAAAGTGGTTTCCAGCTTGTCTTTTAGCTGGAAAGGCTTTAAACTCAATGGTTGGGTTCAACCCAATGGTTGGGTTCAACCCTTCATTTAAACCCAAGAGGTGGGCTCAACCCAATTGTTGGGTTCAACCCTTCATTTAAGCCCAACGGTTGGATTCAACCCAACAGTTGGGTTCAACCTTTTGCTGAATAAAGGATTGAACCCAACACAACTAAACCCTGCAGTGTGTGAGGCGTTTAGTTCTCAAAGCTTCTGCATGGGGAGAGACCCTAATCTGTCCCCCTGAAGAGCTCTGCTGCTGTCTGCAAGCTGTAGCATCTGCCCTGCTCCTTGTAACTGAATGTTTCTGCTTCTCTGTTTTGTTTTTTTTTCTATTCAAAGGTGGGCCTTAATGTTCTGGTTCAGAGAGCAAACAAGTTTACCCCCGCCACTCGTCTCTTGATCCAGAGGTTTGTGCCATTCCCTGCTGTCGGTAAGAAATAACGCCTTTTCTCTATATTCAAAGTGTTGGCTGTAAACCAACCAGTGGCTAAAAGCCACTGAGATGGACACCTAACTCCTGCCTTCCTGCTTTACACCGTCACTGCCGTGTCCTCTTGGCGGTGGGTCCCTGAGTGGGTGCAGGCAGCGACAGGATGGTGTAAAGCAGCATTTCGGCAGGAAAATGATGCAAAGCTGCTAGCGGAGGCAGCTCACAAGGCTTTATCAAGCTGCACTTTCCACTCTCAAGCAGTTTAAAAAATGATCAGCGTTGACTGGTCCTCGACTGTCTAAATTCCAGAGCATTTAATTTGGAAGATCTGGTTTGAATCATGTCAAATCAAATCTTGAAATAGGCAGTAGCATTAGGGGTTTTTTTACAATAAAAATGCGATCAAATGCTCCTACTCTGAATATACAGATTTCTAAGAGCCACCAATTAAAAAAAGACTAAAGTGTGTGAAGAATTAAGGCTGCTGCTGGCTTATTGGAGCACAAAATAAACCCTTCTGCATTTTATCAGCTAACTGCTCGGTGTTTGAGAGAAAGGACACGCTGGCCTCAGCCTTTACTGAAGCCTGTGGTTACAACATTCAGCAAATGATGAGTTATTTTAGCTGTGAAGAAATCTCCAGTGACGTTAGGGTAATTTTTTATGTAAGCTTGTTTATTTATAAAGATAGTGCCAAAATTGTCCAAGCATGGAGGAAATCAGTAAACAAAGGGGTTTTGCTCACTGTTGCAGGTCCCTTTTCAACTGTGTTAATGCGAAACTTTCCTTTAAGCTTTTTCCTTTGCTGTGCAGGGGCCATGTTCGCAGAGCTTTACTCGAGGATGCTGAACCTCTTTACCTAGATGTTGCTCTCAGTTTCTCTGGTTTTTCTGCTCCTTTTTTTACAGACAACTAGTTACTCTCACCCTCCAACCTTCAGTTCCCAAGTTGCTGGATTTTTTTTTTCCCCTTTTCTGCCAGAAAAACAGTTGCTTGCCCTGTCTGCAGGGCAGGGGGTGACAGGAATTGTAGTCTGTTGGTTGCACTCAATCCTGTTTCTGAGCTCTTTGCTTGTACGTAGGGGATCTGTGGACATTATTATTGTTTTCCTGGAACTTCCCTGGGATATATTTTTGGAGGGCTTCAGCTTTCTTTTGATTCCTATAACCACGAGGGCACTAGAGGTGAGCACAAGAGCTAGGAGGCAACTGCGAGGCTGGGTTTGAGTCAGAGATGCACACGAGAAGTCTTTGCCGCCAGGTTGATCTATTTTCATACCAAGGTGTAAGGAGAAGGAGGTTACTCTTGTCTCAGCAGTCACTGTGAACCCATGATTAATTTGTTTAGCCCGTAATTAATTTTCTAGTTCTTACTTTATTTGTGTACTGTCATGCTTTGTTATGTGCCAGGACATCAGGAATCCTCCCACTAATTGCTGTTTTGTGGTTTTGAAAACTGCGAGTTATCGGTTTGCAGACCTGGACAAACTGATTAATTAAGATGCATCTTCCCATTGCTTCTGAACCGCCAGCCCCCAGCAAAAGGGCAGAATTTCACTTTTTCTACGTGAAAAGCTAGATGCTGATGTAAAGCTCTTACCCCACTACCATTAAGCAATTTTCCCCTGTCCTTTCCTTGCGTCCCTCTCCCACTGACCTTGGCTGAGCTGTGCTGGTTGTTGGTAGCAGCTGGAGAACTAGAGATATGCATCCAAGTTTCATAGTCTCTCATCCCAAGGATGAGGGTTTTGTCTTAATCTTCTTCCCCCTCAAAAATGACTGAAAGATTTTTGGTTTTTTTACATTTTGCAAGTGCTGGGATGCGTATTTGCAAAATATGCATCATGAGAGATGGAGACTTGGGGAAGTGCAGCTTCTGCTTGGGTGGAAGGCAGCCAGACTCCAAGCAGAGATGTTCATAAAGACTTTTAAAACCTTGAGAAGCTGAGGTAGGCACTGGGAGAGCCGGTGTATGGGTCTTACTGCCCTCAGAGATGCTCCACATGTTGTGTCTGTCTTCTCTGGGTCATGTACAGTTGTCTTTGCCCCATAAACTAAACCGTATCTGCAGAAATGCTACCTGTAGGGCATATTTAAGAAAAGCGGTTCCTCCTTGAAATCCTACTTTCACCATGGGACCCTGAGGGGAGTGCAGGGCATGGGGCTGTATCTACAGGGGCCTCCAGACCTCACTTGTGATAACACAGGCTGCGGGCAGTTAGGAAAGCACCCAGGTAGCTAGTGCAGGCTCTGATTGTTCTGATCCCCATGGTGTGGCTGGTGGCACTAGAGCAGGGTGCCGGAAGGTCGGGCTGCACCGTCACCTTCCACCAAAGGTAATCGATAATAGCTGAAAATCACAAGTTGTCCAAAAGATCCTCCCCAGCCCCAGGGCACAGATCCAGGAAACCAACCCAGGTGGAACAGCTCATGGAAATGGCCAAGGCTCTGCACAGCCAGCGGCTGGCTTGATGTAAAAGGGGTTTGTGCTTGATGTTGGCCACACTGGAGCATCATCTGAGTGGTGAAGTTGTTCTCCATGAAGGTTTTCCGTGCAGGAGAAGGGAAGAAGCGTGCCCACGCTGTGTTCTGGAGAGCAATGATTCCCAAATTTGAACAAGAAGGGGCTTGACCCTTTCTTGGAGATGTAGGTGACGAAGGACATCAATGCCCAGGGTTATTGCGAAGAACCCAATCTACCCACATCTTCTCAAGTACTGGGTGTGAATAGCTGTCACAAATTTAAGGAGTGTCACTGGTGATGGTATGCTTTATACTAGAGATGTATGTGGCTAAAAAAACACACAGAAAACCCCCAACCCCCCCAGAGGTGGCATCCCAAACCAGATCCAAAGGAAATTAAAGCTAGTAGAAAGATACCCGTTGGAGAGAAGGGAGGAGAAGAGGAGGAAGGATTTCTTCTCCTTGGGCTTTTTTTTTTTTTTGGTGAGGGGGGTTAAAATTGTTAAATATGTTTAGGTGATACACAAGGGTGTATTTAGTGTATGGCGAGCACCCTTGTTTAGAAAGGATATATGTATACATGTATAGAAGTAGGGTAGTGGATTGCTTTTGTATCTGAACTCAGTTTCCAATATGTCACTCAGTGTTTTCACAGAGTAGTTTCCAGGCTATATAGTCACCATTTCTTTCCAAATTCTGAAAATCAAATTGTCTACACATATATTTATTTATTTCTTGTTTCCCCCTGTATTTGAGACATCCATAAGATCCAAGTTTACCCATAATTAGAAGCATTTTCCACTTTCTCAGAAAGCAGAACAGGAACAGCTAAAACAATTGCTTATCTCAGACAAACAGACAGGAATCAGGTTTGAATCTGGGACCTGATCAATGAAACCCTGATAGGATCCAGAGACTTGGAGAAGCATCTAGCTAATGTGGGAGCTTCAGGTCTGGACACCCCACCATGAGTCTCACAAGAGCCTTGTGCCGGTGCATCCTGGCTTGGCCAGAGCATCTCTGCTGACATGTTTTTATATGTTCAGTCTTGACTGATAGCTAGAAGGATGGGACATGTGAATGTTGAAAAAAAAAAGGGGGGGGGGCTAAACTTGCTTTAAATGAAATGCCTGTTTTCTTTTTTATCTTGGATTAAGGAGTTGAAGGGCTGGTAACACAGATATTTTGATAGATGGGAAGAGTGGTCCAGTAGTTCGAATATTAAAGAGAGAGACAGAGTGTGCGTGTGTGTATGTTCCTCTTATTCTCGAGTGTAAGGAGCATTTGTCACCACAAATCATCCTTGATTGCCGAGAGCTGCATTTGTATAGGGCTCACCCACCCACCACCCTCAAAAAATTAGACATTTGTTATATGACATGAATTGAGATTAATTAGCGAATATTAACCCATCAAGCAGTACAGAAACACATTTTTGGAAGCAGTGGTACTTGCAGCATCAGTGGGTTTGTATTAGTTCTGGTTGGAAAGTTTGCAACAAAATGTGGTGGTGGGGGGGTTGCTGGAAAATGCCAGTTTATCAAAACCCAAAGTTTTGTAGGAATTAGCAGCTTTTCTTTGGAAAAATTTAAGAAGTGCCTGGGCCCCAGAGAGGAGCTGCACCTGGGAAGGATGTTTCCTAATCCCAACTCTTAACACGTTACTTGAGGAGCAGAATTTGGGGTCATCTCGAGAAGGCTACAAAAGGCCCAGGCTGGGCAAGTGGGGGGCTGTCAGAAAGGGTCCCACTCCTGCTCCCACCTCTGCCGTGAACGCAGGGCTGAGATCTGGGAAATGTCGGTTGGGAACCAGAGCTGTCCAAAGCTCTGCTGGTTTGTGTCATAGTTCAGAAGAATACCATTAATGCAAAGAAACAGGACTCTAACTTTAGAAAATAAGCCCACAGAGACATTTTCCCCCTAAAACATGTGAAATAAGGGCAAATAGTCAGCAGGACCCTCACTAATGCGATACGTGTCCATGGAAGCAACCCAACCTTGTCTTATTTGATTAAAGAAAACAAGTCTGTCCTCTTAAGAGCTCAGACCTAAGCTGTCCTTCACAGCTTAGTGAAATCCCTTGCAGTATATTTCCATCATAGCTGCTAAAATTTGTTATTTAAGAAGAGTTTGTCAGCTGGCTTAGTAAGGGGAATTAAGACCAGCTCTGGGATGTACCGTCGGAAGAGGCAGCTGTCAATCAGCAGTGCCTGGTTGTCCAAGACCAACCGGCAGCCCAGTGCAAGGACCAGTTTTGAGTTATTAGATCGAAATGTCAGGTGAAGGATCGCTGTGGAGGGTGGGAGCATGTGCGAACACCAACATCTGGAACATCTGGAAACGCTGGTATTTCTTTGCATCAAGATGTTTCCAATTGTGGCAGCAGATCCCTTTGCAAGTAAAAGAAAAGGATCTTGGTTATTATTCTCCTCTTAAGAATCCCATCTTTATCTTGGTATAAGAGTGGCTCCTTGACTTGTGGAAACTTCGTGGCAGATTGATGCTAGCAAAGCTGAAGGGCTGTCACAGCGAACAGAAGCCTGCCATTTGGTATTGACCACGGCTGCGTTGCTAATCATCGTGCTTTTCTCATCCTCAGCTAGTGCCAATATCTGCAATGTTGTCCTGATGAGGCACACGGAGCTGGAAGAAGGAATTGATGTTTTGGACAATAACGGAAACATTGTCGGGTCTTCCAGAATTGCTGCAAAACACGTATGTACCTGTGATGTTCCTGGCGAGCACTCGGGTGAGCTTGTACACAACTGGCTTTCAGGCTCAACAAATCCCACAGCCGTAGGAATCGATGGCTTGAAAGAGCTAGAAATAGATGAGCTTTACCCATCATGCAGGAAGAACGAAGCGGCAAAACTGAATGCCTGCGTCGTACCCACGCGTGCGGTTGCGTAGCCACAAAACTGAGTGTGCTGGTGGATGCAGGCTCGTGTCGTGCAGGCAAATTCGGTGACTGACCTTGATGGCTTGGAAGGGCGCAGATTGACATCTGGAAGATCCTGTACTGCTCTGATACATTCACAGCCTTAGGATTTCTTTGTACAAACTTGTAAGCAGTTCATGTTGAATATGAAGCAAAGATAACTTACACCTTTTTCTAAATGAGGAGGACTTCATTTTCAAGCTGAGTAGCTTTTTAACCCTTACCATGTCAAAACTGCATTAGCAATTGCCAACCAAAGCTTTGTGAGGGTAGCCAGATGTTTTTGTCCTCATCCTAACACCTGGTTTGCTTTCCCCCGTAACCTTCTACTCTCTGCCATCTGCCTGCAATTATTCCCTCCTTACATAGTTTTGTCTTCTGAGCATCATCTGATTGTCTGAGGCATGTTGTTTCCAAGTGGGCTTTAATCTGAAATGTAAAGCATGTACCGAAGCACACGCCCAGGCAGAGGAGTTAATAATATAATGCTTGGCATTTCTCTCGCTCCTTCTGTCCAAGGCTCTTAAGGCACTTCGTAGACAGCAATTAATGTACAGATTTACAGTCCTCGGCAAGAAATGGGAGATCTCTAATATCTCTCCATATTGTTGTTTAACAGGGAGATTAAAACAATCTGTTGAAGGGCTCGGAGATACTTATTTGAGCCAGTTTTCCTCACTTACATTAACTGGCTTCAGGACCCAGCTTCCCCTCTCCATCTTAATGCTCAAAGGGAAGACAGACAACATAGAAAATAAATATTAAAAGTGAAGGTACTGTAAGTGTGATCTCGGTGGATTTTAAAGTCAAATTTGGGACTTCTGAGAACTTAGGCACAGCGGCCACCTAATCCCAATGCCTCTTCCTGAATAGCTTAGTACTGGGGTTTTTTTCATGGAAAATTTGGCAGAGCCTTAGTGTAACACATCTGCATCTCTCTGAGGCCTCCCGTTTGGAAGGATCGAGTGCTCCCAAGCCTGACTGTAAGCATAAGTTTCAGCATTCCCATCCAAAATCTATAGTATCTATAGTACCCTCTGCCTACGTCTGCCAAAGCCCCACGTGTGCTCGCAGTGCTTGGGGCATCCCAGGTGGATGCTGCCAAGGGTGGTTGGAAGAGGTACATGAAGACACAGTGGTGGTTATACACCTTGCTACAGCACCCAGGGTCTTCTCTAGGTCTCGTCTCGGGGATTTATGTGTAGCATGCTGCCAAGGTGTCCTGTTTGCTGCTTCCTGGTGAGTCTTGCCAGGGAGAAAGCACCAGCGGAGGGACAACTGTAGTTCTGCGGTTGGGTGTCTTCATGGGAGAGGAGAGCCCTGTGTGTTATGAAGCTTTGCAATAAACCACCAGTGATTAAAAACCAGAAACAAATCTTGGAGCAGGCAATAAGGTGCTGCGTTCCTCCAGCACAGAACTGAAATCGAAACTCAGTTGAGGGAGGAAGGGTTGAAGCTGCTGCCCAGCCCATACTGAGATGTTTCACCTTACAACATCTTCCAGGCAGCTCTTTTGCCTCTCTTTCTTCTTCCAGGCAGCACTGACATGTTTGCGTAGGAATATGACAGGATGTTTGAGCACTTTTGGTCACATAAAGTGAATCAGAGAAGCTATTAGGTGTCTCTCTTTATCCCGCTGGATTTGTGACCAAGCATGGGCTCCAGCCCATCGTTTGTAGCAACAGAGTGAAAATAGGTTGTATACAAGTAGCTTAGCTGAGAGCAAAGTTGAAAGTGTGTGTTGATACTTTCATTCACATACGCAACAGAAGAAAGGCCAGCCAAACCATTTCTGTGCCCACGCATTGAGTGCTCAGGGCAGGTACATCCTGAGATTTGTTTTAAATGTCTTGGGTTGGTTTGTTTGTTTTTCCTTTTCAGGCACTGCTAGAAACAGCCCTGACTAGAGTGGTCCTGCCAATGCCTATACTGGTTCTACCTCCAATTATTATGTCCATACTGGAAAAGTAAGTGTTGGGTAATATGAAGAGGGGGCTTTTTAAGGGGTAGGGAGAAAAGATCTTCAGTAGGTGTTATTCATTGATATTTCTTAGCATTGGTCCATCAAAGACTTTTTTTGTTTATTAAAATTTTCACAATCCATCATTTTTGACCATTGTTGTAGGCTGTTAAAGTGTTACATTGATGTGGTTATTTTAAATTGTCTTTCTGAGACCCCAGGGGTTTGAATAACCCTATTCTGTAGGGCCAATGTGAGCCAAAACTCTGAATTCAGTGGAAAAATATCCAGAAGTTTTCAGTCCTCCACTTAGCAAACAGTAGAGCTGCCACATGAGGTCAGACTAAAGGTCTTGGCTGGTGTTCAGCCAGGGATAGGGACTGTAGGGACTTGCTGACTACACACTGCATCCAGACCACTTTGGCCACTGTTGGACTTGCTTATGACCTGTTTGAACTCACTTTTATTTTCTTTCAGTAATGTCCTGTGGTTGGACTTCCCCAGAAGAATACGTGCTTCACGTATTCTGCAGAAATTTGCTTTCCATCACTGTTTAAGCCAGAATTTCTCCTGGCAAATATCTCTGTGGAGCATCAGTGCTAGGAGAGTGGGCAGGGTTATTATTTCATGTCCACTTATCTCTTATCAGAGTTCTTAATAGCAAAAAAAACCCAAAGTGCCCTATCCATTGGCCATTCTCCCACCTTGTTTTCCAACACCTCCACTTTTTCTTCTGCCCAGAGGTGCTGTGAGCCTGTTTGGAGCTGTTGGGTGCCTGTGGCTCCTTAGGACACCCATCAGTGACTCATTCGGTGTGAATGGTCCGTGGGGTGGGGATCACCTTGCCAACCTCTGGAGACTGATTAGTGCATTGAAAGATGGGGATGCTAAAGGGCTTGCTGCCTTTGTCCGGACAGCCAAGCTGGGAGCACTCTTTAAACAAATCTGTTGATAATGGCTGCTCTCAAGCACTCCACTGTCAAAGTAAATAGCAATTAGTACGATTAGGGATTGACCCATAGCTTTGATTAGCTGTGTTTACCCTTGTAGAAACACCCCTGGGCAATTTTCTCTCCTTAACGGAAGGGTTGGGGCTGCTTCTGTAAATTTGGAGACTGGTTTTTAACATCTAAATTTAAAAATATGGATGTAGCCTGGTACTCCTTTAGCACCTAGAGGCTCTCGCCAAGATCGATTGCTCCCATGGCCTGGATGTGGAGAGAAGCAGGGCAAGAAACTCTGTTTTGGGAACTCTAAAGTAAGTTCATTCTGCCCTTCTTGGCCAAAATACACTGTTTTCCTCTCTTTTTCAAAGGGACTGTGATGTTTCCCTGCAGCAGGGCAGAGTCTTGGTAACACTTGCTGCAAGCCACTGTTTGGAGACGGCTGCTGGAGATGCACAAGGACAAGGGGTAGATTGCAGTCCCCCTAATTTTGTGCAAAGCATTTGATTTTCACTTCATGCTCCTCCTTGACAAAAGCTTTGCAGCCTCTTTCGTCCTCCAACACCCTGTGTCACCCACACAGTCCCCCAGCCCGTGATCTACCCGCAGGATCTGCTGGGGAGGTGCTCAGGAGTGACCGTACCTTGCTCTGGAGTAGTTTACTCAGGGCTTGCTCAAAGTCACGTTCAAGAACAGGGATTGTCACTTATCTTTGTACCCCAGCATCTTGGCAGCTTCCCTGCTTCGAATTCAGACGCGTTATTCTAGCCTTTATAATCTTATCAAAGCTGCTTTGCTGTTGTCAGTCTAGAGGACTTCTGTTTTCATCTGTCCACATGCCAGACACTTCAGAAATGCCACCGATTTGTGATGTTCTTACTACAGAGCTGTTTCTTTTCGCCTTTCTGTCGCACCGAGGCTTTGCACCAAAGTGGCTGCGTGTGTTAGCGCTGACTTAACACGCGCACTGGTTCTGGTCTAACCGTACGTTGGTCGGTGATTAGCTCATCTGAGAAAGATCACCCCAGAGCACAAACTACTGCTGTAATTCAGAGGATCTTTGCTATTCTGATTATCAACATGAACAGACAAAAATCTTTATGTGCAAAGATTCAAAGTTTGTGGAAAACTGGTCCCTAAATTATTGTCTCCAACAGGAAACACTGAGGGCCATCATGAGTCTTGCTAAGCATCCACAAGCTTAAATAAAACTAATAGTAAAATTTGCTTTGTTCTTGGGGGTGTCATAATTCCTTGGATTGATACGAGTTCTACTAAATGCACCTGTGCTCTGTGCAAGATGACTATCTGTCAAATAAATGTGGACATACAGGGGATTGTCTTCAAAAAGTCGTCATTTTAACTAATAGAAAGACTTAATTCAGGTTTGCAAGAGGATACTTTCCTTCCCACCATCCCCAAATGAATCTTTCTAAATATAAAAATATCTGGGCATTGCTTTTGCCTGCCTAAATTCTCCTTAGAGCTTTGTGCCTACTGTTTCATTTTCCATCAAATATCTTTGGATTCCTGGAAGCCTGTGAGTGAGAAACAGCAGGGATAGGGAGTGGGGTGCGGTTTGGCCACGCAGCTAGAGGTGGTGGTATCGCTGTAGGACGTGGAAGCATCCACCTGCCATGGAGAGCATCCCTTTCCATAGCCGAGGGATTTGCAGTCCAGGTGTCGACTCACAGATCTTTTAAAGTGATTATTGAAGGGCACGGTCAGAGGTGAAACCTCATTTTGGAAAAAAACTTGGAGCATTTGGTGAAAAGTTTAACTTTTTTAAGTTGGTAGAATTTTAGTTAGGCTAGAGCGTTTTTAATAGGAATCGTATCAAGGCATGCATTATCAATTTATTTATAGAAATCCTTACAGTGTCTATAAATGAAAAAGACGAGAGTGACGGCTTATTATTTGGAGGCTGGAGATCTGGAATCAGAAGTCGCAATCTGGATCCTCTACTAAATCATTTGCATTTGGGGTTGTGGCGAAGGAGGAGAGCAATTCTCCTGCCTTGGGTTTAAGTCTGGGTGAAAGTGGGCGACAGTGCTGCAGTTGGGTGGGAGTTGCCCCACCCCAGGAGCAAGCTATGTGCTCCCAGCAGAGGTTTTCAGATTCAGGAAAAACTCGCTCCCTCGTTCTCGTCTCGGTATTCAAAAAGTTTATTTTAAGTGGCCAGTTCCTGGTCGTCGTCTTTCCACTTGGATCCAGGTCTTTCCTCTCTCTCAGCCATCTCTCCATCTGCATGTTTTAACTCCCCCAGCTGCCTCTCTCGTCTCTTGTGCCATTTTTTTCAGCTCTCTTGGCTTCTCTCGTCTCTTTGCCTGCTGTGTATTTTAACTCCCGGGGCCGCCTTCTCTGCTCTCCAAGTAATTCAATGTTACCTCCCACTGCTGAGCTCCGCAGCGCGCCATTCTTTCCCCATGTTTCATGCATTTCCTGCTGCTTGGACGCTCTGTTGAAGCAGCTAACATATAGAATCAATGTTTATTTTGAGACTACATATGCCATGCGGGGAACACGGTGTCAGTTATTTTGTGCAGATGTATTCTCATTTAAGTTTTATAAATAATATCTGTGTTGGCAACTTTAATACGGAAAAATATTGGTTTCACATCGTCTATGAGATGAAGACGACTCATCTATGGGATGTAGCTGACTTTGGAGCAGACAATGGAAACTTCATTAGTACCTCCATGTCATGGATGTGTGGGGACGACTACATCCACTGCTTTAAGTTGGACTTCTAGTCCCTCAATAAAGGGACTAGTTGTTTCCTTTTAATAAGTTTCCCTTTATTCAGATGCTTCTGTGAATCCTTTTGTCTGATAGTTATGATAAAATTTGGGAAACGGTGAAGGTTTCTGCCAGCCATCATCCGAGACTTCTCCAGTAGTCTTTGTACAGCTTCCGACTCCTTGCAGAGTTGAAGCCCGTCGCGCAGCTGGTCTATGCGTAGACCATCCAGGTCTGTGTTAAAGTGCAACCTCAGGTTCCCCTGTAGGCTGAGCTCTGTGGTGGGAGAGCCCAAATCCAGTGGTGCTTGGTTCATGTGGTCTGGGCAAGCGGTGGACCAGCTCAGTCCACCAGCAATGTCTGCTGTGGACACTTCGAGCTAATAGCTGGCAGTGGAGGTTGAAGAACGTAGGCTCTTCTTATCTCCTTATCCTAAAGCCTCTTCTCTGCCTCACAGTAAAGCGACCTCAGAGGGTCTGAAATGCAGTAGAAGGTCTGAGGATGGGCTCCAAGAGCTCCTGTATGTCAGGCTAGACAAGAGGAGGCCCTAGAGCTGACTGTGAAGTGTTTGTGGAGGAGAGAGAAAGCTGGAACTGTTGGCAAGGGGCAAGAGCTGAGAGAGAAGCAGGGAGCAGAATAGTTGTGTCCATAAAAGAGGAACGTTTCTACTCTTTCCTCATCTCCACGTCATCCTGATCTTGTGGTAGAGCTGCCACAGCATGTCAGCATCCTCACGCAGCAGTTGTCAGGGCTGTTCTCCTGTAAAGCTCATAAAATTAGGACACTCCTAGGCTGGATCAACATTACAGACCTGCTCTGGATTAGCTAAGTCAGTCTAACCATGAAAAATGGATTCTCTTGATGGGTAGCCAGTGCTCAACCTATGGTTTTGTGGTGCTGGAAGGGCCTTTTCTTCAGCTTAAACCATGTTTTTCACTGCAGAAATGTGTGTGAGGTAGGAGGCCCTCCTGGACCTTGTGTTCCTGGCCTTTTGCTGGAGATATTCTCCTTTTGACAGTGTGTGCAGAGCATTTCCTACGGGTGCTCCTCCTCCTCTGAAGTGCAAAATCTCTCCGTCCAGCTAAACGCTCGCTGAAGTTTGTTTAAACTAAACAGCTGCCAGCAGTGACACCTTAAACTGCTGTAGCTGTTTCCAGAGTAAACATTGAAACTGCTCCTTTAATTATGTCAATCAAGCACAAAAATCCCCCAACCTCACTCACTTTGTGTCTGCTGTGTCCTCTGGAGGGGGCACTGGGGCTACAGCCAAGAGCAGGAGATGCTCCTTGGCGAGGACAGCAGTGACCTGGCTGGACAGGATAGCAGACAGGGCTACTAGAAGAGCTCAGGATTCCCCAAATCACCCCAAATGAGTGAGACAAGCTCAGAAAAACACCTTCTGCAGAGAGCAGAGAGACCCGACGGGCTCTCTGAAGCAGAGACATGGTACAGTGCCAGCTCTGGGAGGTTCTCAGCAGAACTGGGATCTGGGGTAGGACAACCACCCCAAAGTTTGTTTGCACATCAGAGGGGTGTTTTGAACCCCGGGCTCTGAGAAACCTGGGGTGCCTGGGGATACCCAGAGCAGCTTTAGCCTCCAGCATTTTTCATACCCTGCCGGCATCCTCGGCATTTTGCGATGTATGTATTAGCTTTGAACCTGTTTATAGCAAACACTACAGAAACCCCACAGAATCTGTCAGCTGGGAGACTTTGGTTAACTCCTGTCATATTTAGTTTAGCATCTGACACCTCCTTCTAGACAAATACAGCTCTGGTTCACTGAACCTGATAACTCCTTTTTAGTACAGCAACTGACTTCCATATGGAATAAATTACAGTACCTCTTGAAAAATGCCAGAGGCAGCTGCCAAATTATGCAAAATTTAAACCACTAATGAACAATGTGATGAAAGTTGAATGAAGGTGTATTTACAAGATCTACAACACACTGTCTTTGCGGAGCAGATGTACTGTCTGTACAAATATGCGTGTGTCTGTGTATATACCTACGTACATGCACACTCATGCATATTGAAATGGTATCTGTAGGTCTAGCTGGTTTAGGTAGATCCGTTAACAGTAAGCACTACCTAGGATCAGTAAGCCAGAAGCTCCCCAGCCTGTTGCTACCTTATTAATATCTGCTCGGCAAATTTTATGAAGGCAAATTGCAGAAAGAATAGGCATCAGGGAGTTTCGAAGGGCAGTAAAGAAACAAATCTTTAAAAAAAAGAAGAAAAAAGAGAGAGGAAGGGGAAAGTATTGCAAAAAAATTGTGTTCTTTGCCATCCGAAGGTCAACGTATAAAGATGGATCGCTTAGACCAGCGAAGCAGACCACCGGTGCCAAAAATTTGGCTTCTAAAATCAGGAACAATAAAACGTACATATTGTCTTCCTGCAGATTCCCAATGTGAGACCTTCTCTTGGTGCAAACTTTTCAATCCTATGTTGTCTAATCTGAGCGCCAAGGTTTAGCTCACCAGAGCCTCGCCAGTCCTGTCCTGTGAACCGTGGTCACAGTCTGTAAAACTACTGTTCTCGTGTGAAAATAGCTTCGAGTACCTCTGCAGAATTACTGGTAGGGTAAGATGATATTTGCTTTTGTGGATGTAGCAGTCTGCTTCAGACGATGCCAATGGCAAAGTTTGGCTGTCAGGGGGATCTGAAGGTCCAGGCCTCCACTTCCCTGCTCAGACCCCTTGGCAGAGCGCACAGGACAGTGTTGTAAACTGGTTCACCCTTCAACAAACGGGTACTAATATTATTTATTTTTAATCTGCTATAATACTCTGCAATTAAACCCTTTGGAAACATCTAATCATTCACTTCCGATGGGGGGCTAATGGGTGAAAACAGGGGTTTTGATTGCATTTGACAGCTAACAAAATGCAGCATGCAATATTTAATATTCTTCTGAGATCTGTGTCGAGAGCAAAGATCCTAGGTACAGAAGAAAAGTGGACCTCTCGACTAATGATGAGTCATTTATTCTGAACAACTCAAATTTTAGAATCTGAATCCCAATTAAGACATTACACTACATGTGTTAATTAGTCCCTTCTCCTTTTTAAATCAAGCCATAACTCGTCTTAATTAGGAGGTTAGCCATTGTAATTTGAACTGGCCTGAGTTTGAAGCACTCCTGGAAATCACACCTGGGGGCTGTACCAGGGATCATTTTAAATTGGTTGAGTTTTTACTTGGGTGATTATAAGGTCCCCAACAGGGCAGTAATTAAAGAGGGTGCAGCTTCCAAATTAAGATGTCAGGGGTGGTATAAGCAGTGATGTCTTGGTTCTAAACTGTACTCCAGGGAGGCTTGAAGGATGCTGGTCATATGATTTTTCTCAGCGAGGGCTCTCATGGATCACGACAGCTTAAGCAGGAGAATAAATCAGTTCCAGGAGTTGCCCCTCTGCATCCCAGGGGCTAGTTATCACAGCTTATTGATGGCAGTTCTTGAATGTTGCATTTGTTAAAGAGCGTGGAGCAAAGTAACCCGCTTTCCTGACTTGGACAAAATCCTTCTGGACTTCTGCAGTCTGGAGTCTTTTAGGTTAGCTCGTGCTCTATGCAAAACAAAGTAGCTAAATATTGGAGAACAGAAGCTTGGCTTTCACAGCACAAATTGATAGGATCAACTCCGTCTCGATAGCTTATTAGCGAGGAGCTGAGATATTGGAGGAGTTAAGGCTCTGGTTCTTGTTTTCCTTCCCCACTTCCCCCAAACCTTCTCAAGATGAAGACAGCTTTCAGCAAGCACTGCTAGCAAAGGGCGAAGAGTCTGAATGTTCAGACACACAGACAACGTACAGCAGGGTAACAAGTTCCCACACATCAGCTGCTCCGTTATAATTCATCAGGTGCGTGTTTGTAGCCTACAGTAAACGTGGAGTAGACGAGGGCTGAGGTAATCTGTTATCTTGCACTGGCTGCAGGCACAGGCTGCAGGGGGGAGATGTGCCTGCAAAATCACTTGTGCGTGTGCCAGAGCAGGCTAGTGGCATGCCCTGGTCTGGGAAGGGTTGCTTGGCTTGGTTTTGGTGGGCACCTTGTGAATGGAGCCATTTGGCTTAGAAATGCTTTTTCAAACCCTGGTGATGGTAACCACAGTGATGTTTAGCAGTTAGTATACCGTCCTTGACCAAAAGAGAGCTCCTGGGTCGTCACCTCTGTGGAAAAGCATTAACTAGCAGATCTTTGCCCGTGGTTGGTGGCAGGACACTGTGAGGCATCGGCATCCTCAGGATCAGGATGGACAGAGGAGAGACGCACATTGGGACTAAGGCCATAGCTGATGACCCAGCAGCAGATCTGCTGGCTCTTTACATTGCTAATATGCACTGAATATTCAAACAAAACTCACTATCAAGGTGCTGGTTTGTATTCCGAGTTGTTTCAGATTGGTAGGAAAAAGTTGAATGACAAGTGTCCTTTTAGTGTAAAGAGCTCCACAACAAACCCCTCAAGAACTACATTTTTCCCCTTAACATTTGTAAACTCTCTGAGGTCCTGTATCCTGGAATATACTTAACATGCCACCTTCTACCAGCTAAATGTTGTCCCTGTCATTCAGTGTTAATTGCATCAGAAGGGTCACTTAATGGGTCATTATTAGAACCTGACCTTGCACATATCTTAAGTGTTTGCTGTTAACAAGTCTTGAACTCATAGATATCCGCTGGGGACAGCAAGTGCTAAAACATCCTCATCACCCACTCTGCAGATGTTTGATTTTTAACAAATTACGGTATTGTCAAGTTTACTACATTACCCCATTAACAAAGTCGCGTGCCTTTTTCCATACCGCTGCTGATAGGGCCGACAAAGTTCACAATATCTCTCAAGAACCTAATTTCCTTCTGCTCGCTCAACATAGTCTCCAAAGCCTTCATGCAGGCAACACCTGCAGGCAGCCAGATCACCTCGTGTGCCATTTGCCCCGGTGTGAGATGGTTTGAAAGAGAGGGGGAAGTGTGTGTGTGAAGCGATCCTGTTTTAATTTAGGAGTAATCAGCACTTAGGTTGGCGTGGGCTGTGTAACCCCAGCAGATGCAGAAGTACGGGGTGCAGGGCTGGGGATCTTTTGTGGGTGAACTTGTTGATGACCTCCTAAGAAGGAACCTGGACTAGTTAGAGGGAGACCAGTGGGTCTGAGTGAACGCCGGTGTCCGTTCTGATGATGTCATGCACTCACCTGATCTATGAAACGGTCTAACGAAGCCTTTCCTTTCCAGAACATCACTTCTGAGGTCCCGTCCCCGGATGATTCTCCCAGTCCAAAGCCTTGTGTGCCTCGCTGCCTTTGGCCTGGCCCTCCCTTTGGCCATCAGTCTCTTCCCGCAGATGTCCGAGGTCAGTACATGTCTGTTCACTGCAATGGGATATCTCAGAGGGGCTGTACCAATGCCACTGCTTGTTTTGCCTTCCAGGGTAATAGTCTTATTCCTATGGGGCCTCCTCCATTTTTGGATGAAGTTGGTTGCTGTCTTTTTCACTTGAAGAAGTGCAGTTTCACCGGGCAGGGGGTGGTTATGTTAGTCCCTCCATGATTAGCACGATCTGGCATAGATAGTGTCACACAGCTTTTCCGTGCTGTTTGGATCATGGGGTGGGATGTCCCTTCCAAGCAAACAGAGGAAGAACCCAACAGAGGAAGCTTTGTTCCACCTGGCAAACGCACCTTTTAGAGGCAAGGGATGGTCATGTACGATCCTCCTCCTTTCCATTGCCTCCATTGTTCTCCCACAGGGATGGTCTCCTCCAGACCTTTCCCATGTGGAGGACGTTTAGACTCTATAGTAATCAAAGCGCCAGGTATCAGGGGGAGAACCAGGTTGGAATAAGGTTTTTTTTAAATGTATGAAGATAAATGTATGAGGCTAAACATGAGCCGGCAGTGTGCCCAGGCGGCCAAGAAGGCCAACAGCATCCTGGCCTGTATCAGAAACAGTGTGGCCAGCAGGACTAGAGAAGTGATCATCCCTTTGTACTCCACTCTGGTGAGGCCACACCGCTAATCCTGTGTTCAGTTTTGAGCCCCTCACTACAAGAAGGACATTGAGCTGCTGGAGCGTGTCCAGAGAAGAGCAACAAAGCTGGTGAAGGGCCTGGAGAAAAAGTCTTACGAGGAGCGGCTGAGGGAGCTGAGGGTGTTTGGTCTGGAGAAGAGGAGGCTGAGGGGAGACCTGATCACCCTCTACAACTACCTGAAAGGAGGGTGTAGTGAGGCGGGGGGCGGGCTCTTCTCCCCAGTAACTAGCGATAGGACAAGAGGAAACGGCCTCAAGTTGCACCAGGGGAGGTTCAGGCTGGACCGAAACGGCCTCAAGGTTAGAGTTGTTAGGCATTGGAACGGGCTCCCCAGGGAGGTGGTGGAGTCACCATCCCTGGAGGTGTTCAAAAAACGTTTAGATGTGGTACTTCAAGACATGGTTTAGTGGGTTTAGCGGGCATGGTGGCATCGGGTGTATGGTTGGACTTGATGATCTTTGAGGTCTCTTCCAAACATAATGATTCTATGATTCTATGATAATGTTCTGCCTGCTTGATCACCAGTCAGAGGAGCATCTCAGCTAGCACCGAGGATATCTGGTCCCTCTTAAGTGATACCCAGGTCAGCTCTGATCAGATCACAAGTCAAGAGGTTTTGGTGTTTCTGACTGATGACTTCTGCTCTGAGACTCCAGCTGGGTTTGTCCTGTCTTGCCTGGGGACGTGAGCTTAGTCAGAGCTGAGCTGCACCAGGGAGAAGAACGTGGTTCAGCTCACCCTGTCCCATGACAGTGGTGTTTCCTTGGTGTTAACATAGTGCAAACAAGTCTTTGTCCATGAAGCGAAGAGCCTGGGATACACATCTGATGGGGATGTACTTTCCCAGAGCTTCTTCGAGGGTTTCTGCCTTTTCATCATCTAGCCTGGCTCTGACACAGCCTGGGGGTGAACAGAGGAAAACTAGCCAAGGAAACAGGCAGAATGACTGATGAAATCACTCGTACCTAAGTTAGCCAAACAAATTGCTAAGGTGTATTTTTTTGTAAGTCATTAATTTAACCATTCAGTGTTTGGAGCTTATAGATTTGCACATCGTATATTTGTATGTTTACAGGGAAGGTCACTATTATAAAGTGGCAAAACCTCTATCAAACAGAGCAAAGGAAGTTCTTTTTGTGTCAGCTAGAACAGTTGATCAGAAATGAGTATCATATTCTCTACTGGTTATTTCAGATTTTTCAGTCTGGATGGTTTTACTCACAACCTCTAGCCAGGGAATCTTGTTGTACACTTGTCTGCTAGACTGAAAAACATGTTACAAATTTTCTGTTGTCCTTCTAGCTGTTTACAGGCTGAGATAAAACTGCCCCTTAATCTTCTCTTTAAGAAACTGAATGTATCTCAATCTTGGAGTCTCTTGCTAAAAGATGTGTTTTCTGAAGCTTTAATGATTCATGTGGCTCTTCCTTAAACTTTTTCTAATTAGTCAACATCCTTTTTGGAGCATTTCCATAAGAACCAGACACAGTATTCCAGTAAGAACTTGCACAAGTACCAGTTGCAGGAGCAATGTGATTTGCCTGCTTCTACTTGAATTCATACATCCACAGAGCATGTTAGTCATTTTGGCATGAGCTCAGCCTTAGCTCCCCGTCCATCAGTTTTTTTGCTGCGATCCCAAGTTCTGCTCAGAGATTTTGGTTATGAAAGACTCAGGAGTATTTCCAGGTCTTGCATCTGTTCAAGGTACACGACCAGAGTATGTCCAATGGTCCTGTTGGAAGGAGATTTGGACATAGAGCATCCCTTTTGCTCCTATTTCCAGAGAAAGGAGCTTCACCCACCAGAAGGTAGCCATGGCCTTTCCTGGGAGGTCTCCTTTCAAGATAATCAGGGAAGCAAGACCACAGGAGGTAACACCAACCTCATTTACCCCGAAGGTGACACTGCCAACGTTCCCCCAAAATGATGCGCCATGCCATAGCTACCTACACTCTTTGTGCCCAGAGGCGATTTTGTGTTTGACCATAGTATGATGCACGTTGGCTTCTTTTCCACAGATCACCACGTGATCCAGAGGTCTCTGTCTCGGTGACCTGGGCTCTTAATTACTCACCACTTTCCCAAACTTTGTGTCATCTCAAGCCTTAAGCGGCAGTCATTGTGTATTTTCTCCCTTCTTACTGACAACGCACATGTTTAATAGCATTGCCCAAACCAAACCATTCTTTCAACATAGACAGGAAACTCCCCCTACAATTCTGGTTTGAAGTTTAGCATTTTGTACATTTCCAGTATTTTCTGTAGGCATCGCTTAGCATGGGCTTCTCTGAAATGGTAAGTGCCTACTAAGGTCAGTGGGAACTAAAGTTCTGGTACCAGAATCTGAGGCAGAGTTAAACACTAAGGGCTCTACAAAAATAATTATTCATTGCCTTAGTTTATTTATGTAAAAGTGAAACTCACAAGGTCTTTTTGCCTTTTGTATTTTAGCTTTATGGGTGACAGATAATTTATAATGTATAGTATCTGATATTACAACATGAAAAATTGTGTTGATGCTAACAGCTAAATGAATTCTAGCCCACAAGGAACATTAAGGTCTGGCTTCCTTCAGAGGATATTCAAATTGCAGGCATCAGGCAATACTGAAACCGTACAGCATCACTTGGAAATGACCTTCTAAAAGCAGATGAAATGTTATCTGCAGTGTAAACATGAATCAGTGCTGATTAGTAGATCAAACAGAATGACGTGCTCTCTGCCCACGCTTCTTGTCAATGAAAAGAAACCATTACAACTGGTGGTAGAGCTCATTACCTGCTGGGATCTCGGCTCCGCTCAACCGGAGTTAGCTCCATGTGCACAGCTAGACCTCACGTCTGTTGACACCAAGGAATCAGATTCTCCATAGCGGCCTGGTCTGAGCAGTCTTCCAGTTATGTTTGCATTCATTATGAATGTGTGTGAGTGTGTGTGTAAAGGGCGTTCCTCCCAGTCGCCAAAATCTCCTTGGTGGTGACTGTGGGGATGCTCAACTGAGCAAACCAAGTGATTTATCTGAAACAATCTCCCCAGAGCCATTTCTTCACAGTCTCGGATAGGAAATCTGAGTTTCTTTGTGAAGAGCATTTCTCAGAACGTGTGACTTCTTGGTCACTCATCACTGCTCCATAACTAAGTCAATAGCCTTGGAGCGCTTGAACGTTGACCTCTCTCTCTATATGTATACGCATGTGTATATGTGTATGCATGTGTATTTGCTTTTTCTCATAACCGCAGTAGGTGAGGCAGCTATGAACATAACACGACTGAGATGATGCTGTTGTAATGAGCACTACCCAGGGAGTAAATTATTACCAACAAGATGTAATAGGCGTGTTCTGTTCCAAAAATATGATTGTGGTCTGAGCAGCAACTCTTTCAGGAATTGTAAATGAGACGAATTCTGCCCTTAATCACACATTCACGGTCCTTTTTCTTTAGTCAGAGAGCAAACACAGAAGCTGATGTGTTATTAAGCACTTGTTTTAGCATGGGAGCTTGACTAGCTGCCTTTGATCCACTCTTCTAAAGGGGCTCAAACTTACAATTAGTTTTCAACCAGAACGGAAGCCTTACAATAGATTTAATAACTGTGCTATATAAATGCAGCCACCTTACCACATCAGCTGGAGCTGCTTCAGAGTTATACCTGGTTCAAAATAACGTATCAGAGAAATCAGAGTTCAGCTCTGGTTGCATACAGAAACACCAGCATCAGGTAAATGACAATTCTGGAGCTGAACAACCTTCATGTGCTGGGAGGGATAGTGCATCCAGATCTTCTCTTGGGTCAGTGTTTAGTCTAGCTAAGACCTTATACATTCCTTGATTTTGTACAGATGGAATCCACTTTGATGTCTGCAACGGTGCTCCGGAATTACAGCTTGTTTCAAGATGGTATGGTTTTGAAGATCACCTTATAAAAATAAAACCCTAGTGTTAGCCGTAAAGACATGGGTCCTTGCGACTAAGCACGTTTAAGATGCTGAGAAGTACACTTTTCATCCCAATATAGTGTTAACTCCGGTACCTAAATGCATCAATATGCATTAAGTAATTCACTGCTGTTAAGTTTAGGAGAAACATCTAGTTAATGCATTTAGCCCACAACCTCCAACTGCCTCCCATGCCCCCCGGGGAATCTCTTTTCCAACCGCCTATCCTACAGCATCCCCACTGACAACTCCTACTCAGCTATGCACTGCCAATAGAAACAGCTGTGACAGTTCCAAACTGAAAATGGGACTTGTGCAAATGAAATTCAGTGTAGCAGCAAAAGAAATAACCACGGGGTTGCTCCACTGATTTTCTACCCT